CACCATAGACACCTGCGGTCCAGAGTTTTGCAAATATCTCAGCAACGTTGTGGTTGTATTTCGCTTAGTAACCTGCCATGAAAATTATAGAAGGCAGAAAACAAAACGTTTTGGTGAATAATTTGAATTTTTCAAAGGAGAATAATTTTTAAATACCCGAAAGTCAATGTTTGAGTATGATCCTCATTCTGAGCTAAGTTTGAGAAAATTTTTTGGAACATTACATCGAAACTGGACTAATTTTTAGAACCCACTTGCATAATTCCTTTGATGGGCGACATTGGTCACCAACAATGAGCTCTTCAGTTATGAACTTCATGACAACTCGTCCAGTTATGTGATTATACTAACACAATAGCAAAAGGTGCGCAACTCAAAATCATCGAGAACAAAGAGAAAACTGCTCCATATGTGCAATTATGTGAAAAAATTCGAGGAATTCTTTCCCAGTGCCGAAATCGCGAAGTATTCGTTTACAGCAAAGAAAAGGACGAGAAACATTAGTCGTTTCTTCTCATGAGGTCAAACATACATCAGAATTCAGACGTTCCTGAACTTCTTGAGAACATCACAGTAAGAGGAAACAACTGCGGAGCACACCACATTCAACATAGAAACGCCAGTTATTGTGATTAACGTCGAATTTTCTGTGGTTAGAAACACAGTTCAGTTTTTACTGCACTGGCAGCCGCTGTTTTAATCTCGCATCGGGTCAATAGACCCAACCATCCCTGTGGAGTCGGTAAATTCATACAAGGCTTGGCGGAAATGCCCTACTTCCGATTCATTGGTGCCCTTCAAGCCCCGTAAGCCTGCGGAGCCCACTAGGTGACCCTCTCCATGACAGAGATCCGTGGAGTTCGCTAGTCATTTCGATGGATAACGGAACAACAAGAGGCGTACATGATCTAGCCAAATCGATTGGGCAGTGCGGGTGAAAACTATGAAGTGCCATCGTGGAGTGCACGGTTCTGGTTGGATCTACAATCAAGAAAATACATACCCTCTCGCTTCATTGGATAAAAAAGGATAAAGCTCTCGGCGTTGATCAATCCCTGAGGGATGCTCCATGCATTCGACTTCATTAAGCATTGTTTGGAGGTGATTGAATGCATATCTGGCCTTTACAATGACTCGCGGTGGCTGCCAATCTGCCGACCACGGAGGGATGGAGGGCTTGGTGGATCATAGGCACGGGGATCGATCCCACGTGTGTGCCTCAGTGGCGCCTCCAACCACTGCGCCACAAGCACCCTACTCGCTTCATTGATCTGAGAAAGTTTGTGAGGTCGTCTACAGCTTTGGTAGTAGAACTTCGTAAGCTCAATTAAGGTCAATTCCATTCCTTCTGTTCCAATTCATTTAACAAAACGGTCATGAACAAAGAAGAGAATTGCGTGTTCCGCAGAGAACATTGCCATTCCTGTCTCCACTTTTCACTCATGCTTAGAAGTATAAAATAATAAAAGCGAGGAGCACGTGGTTTTGATCACACCAAAAAAACCGTGGTTAATCTAGCAAACGCTTCAAGTTCTTTTTTAACATAGCGTGAAGGATTTGAGCAAATGTGCCGCATACCTTCAACTGCTCCACCCACATGAGTGCAACAATCCTCCTCACTTACCACTTGCAGTTTTGCAAATAACCGAGTTACTTGAGGAATTACCAATAAAGTCTATTTGCCAACGACGGCAGGAACATGGCTTCAATGAAGACAAAACCTAGAACTTCAAAATCCGAAATTGCGAAGACGCGTTTGGTTAATGTGAGGTGCTCATCGACAACGAAGTTTTATAGCTCGGGTAACCACTAATTCGTACATTGTTCCTGTGAGGGAAAATCTTTATGATTCCATATAAAAACAAGGTTTTCAGCAGTTTCTCACGCCATAAACTTATTTACGAACTTACGAAATTTGCCATGCAGTTTATTGGTTCGAAGTTTGTTGTTCAATGAAGACCTTTCTGAACAGTCTTGAAAAAACCACCATGATGCTGTGGTATTTGCAAAACCCCGAACGGCAGGTGGCTGAGGTGGGGATCGAACGCGCTATTACGCTTTCCGGGGTAAACGCGTTCACCACCACGCCATGAGGGTCTTTGCCTTCGCGTTTCTCTCAGCCGTGTTTTACATGTATTATCAGCAATCACCCGTTAAAGGAATAGGCAGTAAATAAAAAGTGATTACGTTGTGATTTATACTACAACTTCAGCTTCTCTCTCATACAATTTTTTCACTGTAGGGCATTATGTCAAATGCAATAGTTGTAATGCAATATATGTAACAATACATAATAAAATACAATGTAACAGTTGTAGTAGGCAGCAAACAAAAAGTTGACATCTTGATTTCGACTACAGCCTCGACTTAACTGGATTCAATAGTGAATTGTGCTCTCCAGAACAATCCCGTTGGCGAATGATTGTTGATGGCACCTTTAGACAGAAAAACTAGCTGATAGAAGGAAGAAACGAGGGACGCGCATGTTGTGGTGGTAAACGTGGTAGCGCTTGGAAAGGGTGATAATGTGTTCGATCCCTACGGCAGCCAGCTGCAATCCGGAGTTTTTCAACTATCTCAGCATCTTTATGGTTGTATTTCACATAATACCCTGCCGCAAGACATTTAGTATGCAGTAAATAAAGAGTAGACATTATTTATTTTATTTTATATGACCCGCGTCTTCACAACTGCTGTGCGGATCCCAGTACTTCTCATATTCTATTCGTTTCCTCGTTGTCCACTAAAGTTTTCCAATTTTCATGTGTAGCTTCGGCTACTGCCAAAAAATTTTCATTCTATATAGAATGTTACATGAAATGTAGTGAATGTTGGTCGAGTCGATTCTCACTGGAGTCCTGAGATAGCCGGGCTGGAGCGTTCCCAATTTGATTGCAAGGAGTGATTTTTTCCAGGACAAGTCCAGTACTCATTTCCCGGTCCCAGAGGAACGAGATGCTTGGTGTGCCCGAGAAAGGATGAACCACCACCATGCTTGTGATGATTGGCATTAACACCACTGCGTTATCCCCTACCTTGTGATACAAATACTTCTTTTTGATTAAAAACTCTGAACAACGTTTCATGAATATTAGATTTTTCGGTGTGCACTTTCATTTTAGTATTGTTTCAATTTCAACATGTACTAAATACAAAAACGTTCAGGAGCGGGTAGCATAGCGGTAGTCGACGCCGACCATAGCGGTGACGGGTCGATCCCGTTCCGGGCTCTTCAAGCCTCTCATTTCTCACGACTCGAAAAATTAGTACCGCACTTGTCTGGGAAAAGTGTACTCCTTCACAACTCAAGCGAGAACGCTCTAGCCTGGCTATTTTAGGACTCCAGGGAGAATCAACTAGACTAAACGACATTCATGATAAAACGAAAATCCTCAGGCAGCACACAAAGCTACAAGTAGAAAATTGGAAGACTTTCGTGGATGACGGATGCCAAAGAACGAATTGAACGCGAAAAGTGTTGGCATCCACACAATGGATGTGAAAGAAAAGTCGTGTATTAAAAAAATTCATTTTACTGCACCGCGATTCTGAGATATTTTCAAAATATGCACCCAAGCCCAGATTCGAACTCGCGAGTACCGTTTTTGAAGGCTCATGTTTTACTCGGTGCACCGCTGAGGGCCTTGATTTGCCTTCCCATCAGCCAGTTTCCTAAATAAGCCTATGTGCTGTCCACTACACCCATCGAGGACGCTGCTTCGCTTTTCTCTGAGCCATATTTTAATTCTATCGGTGCTATTAGCAATCAACTGCCAACGGAAGCGATAGCCAAGCTTCACAAAGTGAAAAACTCGCTCAGAGAAAGGCCAAGCATGGGCCTCCGGGTGTGGTGGGTAGCACTTGAATCTACCATGAGGAAAATGGCGGGCTCGAAGTCAAACTGGGTTCTGCGTAGTGTTCATATCTCTGCATCCTTGTGATTGCATCGCACTAACCATTTACTCACTTTACTTGTTTTTATTTACTAAATGACCTAACTTTTCATATTACACTGTGTGGATCCTAGCACTCCTTGCAATCGATTCGTTTGCCTGACCTTTTAGTAGAAAATTTTTTGTATGGTGATAACAACAATAGTAGTAATGTTTATAAATATGATTTGCTATAAATGGTGCCTTCCCCCCAGTGGTTTACTCCCTCATCGCGGTTGGGAGGTGTTTCTGGATGTCGGACTGCGATGTACAGCGGAGGATTCATCCCCTGTCTGAGTCTCCCAACCTGAGAAGGAGTCCGGTGTTCCCATCAGAAAGCTTAGCTTAGAGTAAACCAATGCCAGGATCCACCGCCATCCTGGTATCAAAGTCTCATGGTGGCAAATCTCCTTTTGTCTACAAGGGCGACTGCCTGTGGTGGTGAGGACCTGGAACAGACTTTGGCCAGGCCGACGTCGGCATTCCAGCGAACGAAAATGGCTTAACTAGCAATTCTCCGAAAAATAAAGGTTATGCCGGGACTCGCACAGCCAGTGAGGACGGGTTATTCAACTATCAAGTATCAAGTAAGTGGTGCCTTGCATTGAAAAATTTTGTCTTTACAATTTCTTCTTCCAGTCTTCGCTTCAGAGTTAACAGCGTTCAGTGTGATTTATCACCTTTTATTTTTCTTCTATTTTGTTTTATTTTATTTGAACCGTCTTCACGTCTACTGTGAGGATCCCAGTAGTTCTCACATTTGATTCGTTTCCTCGCGTCCGTTGTCTACGAAGACCTTTCAAGTTTTTATGTATGGCTTCGGCTACTGCTTGAGGATTTTTGTTTCAACTTGAATGTCGCAGAATGCTGGTCGAGCAATTCTCCCTGGAGCTCTGGGATAGCTGGTCGGAGCGTTCCCAATTAGATTGCACAGAGCGATATCTTTTTTACTGACAGGTCCGGTACCAATTTCCCGACCCCGGAGAGATGAGAGGCTTGGTCGGCCTGGAGCGGAATCGAACTAGCACCATGCTCGTGATAACGGACATCACTACCACTGTGCTACCCGCCCGTATTTTATCACCTAGAAGAACAAAATGCGATTTGAGAGTAATTTAGTCAAGAGGACTGTAATCTTGGGATTCCTGGTATTCGTGAAAGCAGGTCATCTTATCAAAGTGATGCCTATTTTTTTATTTTGCTAATCTCTCTAACCAATACCAGAATCCACCACTGTCCTGGTATCAAAGTCGCATGATGGCAAATCTTCCTCTGATCCACAAGGGCTGCACCTGCCTGTGGTGGTGAAGACCTGGGCAGACTTTGGCTAGGCTGACCTCGGGACTCCGAGGAACTACAATGGTTTAACCAGCAAATCTCCGATAAATGGTGATTATGCTGGGAGCCGCACAGCCAGTGAGGACGGACAGTTCAAGTATCAAGTGAGTATTTTGCAGCTTGGAAAGGGCTCTAGCCTATCCGCTTTTTCCACTTTTTATAAAACTGTTTGAAACACTACCATGAAAGAAATTCGTTTAAAGCAAAACTTAGCTGATCTAAACTAATGACAACGACTGCACGTTAATGTTTCCAGTCTATTTTCGTAATTATTAGCTTAGTTACGAAAGGACATAGAAATTGAAACGAACAATGCGAAATATAAGACAAAAAAAATGAAAGAAAAACAGAGCGAGAGAGGGAAAAGAAGGAGATGTGGAGAGAAAGGGAGAAAGAGGCATCAAATAGAACAGAAAGATAGGACGTCGACTTTTGGTCTCCTGGAGTACACACAACTTGGTCAAATGAGTAGGCATTTGGTTACGAGTGACTTGGTTGTGTAAGTCGGCTAGTGGACATGCTGACGATAGCAGAGTCGTCAGCCCTTTGCTGTTCGTCGACGTGGCTGTGACTCCTTGCTCTGTGTTAACCGAGTCACCTGAGGCGTGAGTGTAATGAACATCACACATTTGTTACAAATCGAACACTACTACAAAGTAACCGCTCTAAAGAGACTTCCGATGCTAAGACAACAACGGGAAGGAAGCAAACACAAAATTTTTCCACATAGTTGGCTATTAAAGAACGAACTTATCGTAGCCGGAGTAGTTTCGTACGATAAAGTTTTTTCTCTAGAAGTGAAAAGCTTCCATATGCATTACCCCATAAAGAAAGTTTTCTTAAATTTTTTCTCAAGGCAATTAGAATTCCAGGCTATTGACTGGTATCAAATAGCCAATAAAGTCCTCCAAATTGCTTTTTATGCAAATCTTTTCCTAACATTTTCGAAATAGAAGTGGTGTAATTCCAGGACCGACTTTCTGTTAAGATCGGCATTGATCAAATAGTCCACTGTATTCTTGACGAGCAAGCACGATCTTCTTACATCGAAAAGCTAACGTTTCGGCAGATTTCGTCTTCTTGGGAGTTCGGAAAGGGCAAGCTGACAGCAATCTAGTCAGGCAAAGCCCTTCATAACCCAAACCGAGAAAACATGAAACCAAAATTTCAGTCGCATTGGCAACAAAATAGATTCTTCGCACCGGGATCGCTTTCTATGAGTCTTCCACTGAGTATTTCACTTGGAGACCAACCGCATGGAGTTCAAACGGAAGTGTAATGTGCCTGTCATATTAAAATGTCTGCCTCAAATACTGTGTGACATCACGCGTGATACCGAGACGTCGTCCAGTTTACTTTTGGGTTCTGGGGATTGCCCAGAATGCTTCGAGAGCTTAGCACGCCGAAGTTTTTGATTCCTGCGCGAGGATGGTAGCTTGTATTTCAAAACCTTCCCCCATTGCGTCTCTGATTTGATTTAACCTTAACATTACCGGTCAGATTTTCCTTTACATGGACGAACAAGTTGTCTGCCCGTTTCTCC